CGTCTCAAATGGTGTAGAAACACTGAAACTGCTGACTTTGTTCTTTTCTATGATAATTAAGCCTTTTGGGGGAATGGCCATGTTCTAACACCTATCTATAATACAATAAGTAAAATATAAAAGGCACCTGCTCCATTCACCAATTAAAGGGTCCCTTGCCTGAACAAGGTTTACATCGATCGCATGTACATATGTGTGATTTTTCTCAGGGTTTTCCAGTGGCAGAACAGCTGGTTTCTGTTGATAATGTGAAGTGTGTGCTGTCAAACTTCTGCATCTGCATGAGCTTCTCCAGAAGTGACACATCCACCGAGACAACACAGTTATTGTTGTGTTAGACGTGTGTCCTTTAATGTTAACTAGGTGCAAAAACAGGAGCACTCTGGTTTAACAGTCAGATTGAGGATATTTATGAGTCATATATTCTTATAGATGAGTCATACGAGCAAAAAATAGAAAAAGTACAGATTTCATCGTTTCTGAGTTGTTGTGGTGAGCAGACATTAGCGGGGGGAAAGTCATTAGCCATAAAGAAACCCCTCAAAACACCCCCTAACCTGATGTAAAGGAGGTTTTCACACCGCTTAACCTTGAGTACATGCAGAAGCATTTCATAATGACACAGAATAACATGTAGGTCAATATCACTGTAGGGTGCCTTTTGGCACCCTGTACATAAATAACTCATTTGCCATGATAACTTGTGTTATGACTCCGAGTCCGAAAGGGTGTGTTATATTATTAGGCTAAGTTTTTATATTCATAACAAAAACATTACTTAGCTTTTTAGATACATTTTCTAGATTTTTTTTTAGCTTTGTGTAAAAGGATGCATGTAATTTTGCTATGTCCCTTGCACTGCTCATTCAATTTGAATGATAGTAGAATATTGTAAAATCATAACATGTAAAAATGTTGTTCTCCTATTAATATTTTGTTAAATAAGAGATGACTCAATTTGAGTGTATTGATCATTTAGTAATAAAAACAATATTTTTATTTAATAAAAAAGAAGAGTTTGTCCATGTCCATTGAATGGTTGTCCACCCTGTAGTATTGGGGAATCCGCCCCTTTAAGAAAAGGCCATCCCCTTTAGTGACATTATGTCACTAAAGGGGATGGCCTTTTCTTAAAGGGGCGGATTCCCCAATACTACAGGGTGGACAACCCTGTACTACAGGGTGGACAACCCAATACTACAGGTTTCTTTTGTTTCCTCAGAGGCTGGAATTTCAAGGCTGAAGTGAGTAAGTTAGTGACTTTTCAATTGACAAATTTTCTTCGTCGGAGTTTGCTTACTTGCTCTGCCAAAGCTTAACATGTCCACCCTGTCGGCATAAAATATGCCAGAAGTGATTAGAATACAGTATTTTCAAAATATGTAAGTTTAAATATACCAAGTTCTCTTCAACAACCAGACTAAATATTTAGCTAGTCACAGTTTGTTGTAAGCTAATATGCTAATTGAAGCTCAAAATGTCCACCCTGTCAGCCACTTAGACTCGAGTAGTTAATATTGCTAAAAACTCAAATGAAAATAAAATTGTATTATTTTTTTCCAAGTTGAATAAATGTTTCATTGTCATATTTGTGTTCTGCATTATGTGTCCACCCCGTCATGTGCTGGTCCACCCTGTCATCTTGATATTTTACAATAATATTTTAAATAATAATTAGCTAATATGAATATAAAAAGCGAATATGTTTCTATAGTACTTGAGTGTCTACTATTTATATGACATAAAGCAAATGGGAAATTAAAACCAACATTTTTGAGTATTGTGAGGGTTGAAAGGCACTCTATGGTGATATTGAACCATATACAGTATTAATATGCCGGCTGGGGAATAAGTGGCCTAATATAACCCTGTAATGCAGTCTGAAAAAGTAAATCAGTGAGATCTTTATAACAGTAAAGCAGACTACTTACATCAAATACATGTAAATATCAGTTTTCACTCTATATCTCCCAATAATGTCTTTTGTAAGGTGACTTACATGTTTAGTTTTATGATCAAAAGATCTGTAGTTTTTCATGTGGGGGCAAATATATATAATCTGATGCAATACAATGATGATAACAAATAAATGTTCCTCAAAGATATTTCATACTCACATTTTAATATGATTTTTCTAAAATAGCTATTTCTGTATGGATAATTAAGTAAACCAAAGTTGCTTCAATTCAGTAAATATTGCTAAAAGTTATTCTAACATTACAGGCCTTCGAGATTGATGTATGATACATAGGCCTAGGTTAATTTGTTGTGTAGGTTGAAGTCAGCATGACATCCAAATAAAACCTTTCTTGTTCTGTTTCTGACTTATCGTTATTTTGATGTAATGCTTGCAATGCGTCATTTAGGATTTTTTGAGCTGTTTGTCTCTGAAAAGTGAGTTAGTTCCACATGTAACACAGAAAAGTCCCACATTTTCTTAATGAAGTGAGAAATGCAACACAAATGAGTCATTGAGAGCTGCCAGAATCTCCACAGACTTCGCCATTGAAGGGTATTTTGTAAGAAACATTTGTATGATTTGTTGGAATTATAAAACTGTCCATGTTGACGTGAGCACACATGACATCCTGCTTTTGCTCTGTATCATTTATTACACGGCTCTCTGGAATACTAAATTCTGATTGGCTAAGTTGTAACAGACTCCTTTTCTTATCTTTAAGCTGTGATCTAAGCATGACAACACAGCGCCGTGTGACTGTGTCTGACTGCACATGATCACTTATTCCAAGTTCACTGCACTTTCCAGTTGAGTTTCCTCAGTGCTGCCGACACAAGCTTGTTTGTTCTCTGGCTGTGGTCTGGTTTAGGAAAGAGCTCGATCTCCTGCAGCCTCTCACCCAGCAGCGGCTGACAAACCACCAGAGCAGCAGTGCAGTAATGCTGGCCGCTCGCACCTCTGTTTTCCTGCTGTGAAGCTGTCGCTGTGGGTGTTTATGCGGTTGTTTTGCTTCATCCTTTTGAACTTCAGCCTGTCTCACCTGTGATGCCGAGCAGGGGTGTTAAACCTACAGATACAGCGGTTAGCCACACTGCATCTGATCCTTCACAGACGAGCGATGGGGAAACACCTCGTGCAAACTGCTTTATTTACTTGACCTATTTATGAAGCTTCACCTCAACCCGATGAACCTGATGAAAAGTCAATTACAAAAATAGAAATTGTGTCCTTTTGTTGTAAAACTTAAAATCAGATGGCGAGCATGATATGATTATTTATTTGAAAAGATGCCAATTAGCCAAACATGATATAAAAGGCTACTTTCTTGTTATAGATTATATAATTATATATAATCCTATATATATTACAATTGAAAAAAATATGTACATTATATATATACTTTGTATTTTAAGTATAGAAAAATTATACTATATTTCTAGTATATATTTAAAAAACATGCGTGTGTGTGTGTTTCTTATGATTATAAATTATATAACCATATATAATCTTGTACATCTTATAGGTATTATAATTAAATAAATATAAATATTTATATATATTTAATATATTTTAATACATTTTCAATGCGTACATACATAATTTCTATATATATATATATATAGAAATATATGTATGTATATATGTGTGTGTGTGTATATATATATATATATACACACACACAAACATACATTCATACATAATACTTTCCTTATGATTATAAATTATATAACCATATAACTTGTAGATAATATATATCCAAGTTCACTGCACTTTCCAGTTGAGTTTCCTCAGTGCTGCCGACACAAGCTTGTTTGTTCTCTGGCTGTGGTCTGGTTTAGGAAAGAGCTCGATCTCCTGCAGCCTCTCACCCAGCAGCGGCTGACAAACCACCAGAGCAGCAGTGCAGTAATGCTGGCCGCTCGCACCTCTGTTTTCCTGCTGTGAAGCTGTCGCTGTGGGTGTTTATGCGGTTGTTTTGCTTCATCCTTTTGAACTTCAGCCTGTCTCACCTGTGATGCCGAGCAGGGGTGTTAAACCTACAGATACAGCGGTTAGCCACACTGCATCTGATCCTTCACAGACGAGCGATGGGGAAACACCTCGTGCAAACTGCTTTATTTACTTGACCTATTTATGAAGCTTCACCTCAACCCGATGAACCTGATGAAAAGTCAATTACAAAAATAGAAATTGTGTCCTTTTGTTGTAAAACTTAAAATCAGATGGCGAGCATGATATGATTATTTATTTGAAAAGATGCCAATTAGCCAAACATGATATAAAAGGCTACTTTCTTGTTATAGATTATATAATTATATATAATCCTATATATATTACAATTGAAAAAAATATGTACATTATATATATACTTTGTATTTTAAGTATAGAAAAATTATACTATATTTCTAGTATATATTTAAAAAACATGTGTGTGTGTGTGTGTTTCTTATGATTATAAATTATATAACCATATATAATCTTGTACATCTTATAGGTATTATAATTAAATAAATATAAATATTTATATATATTTAATATATTTTAATACATTTTCAATGCGTACATACATAATTTCTATATATATATATATATAGAAATATATGTATGTATATATGTGTGTGTGTGTATATATATATATATATATATATACACACACACAAACATACATTCATACATAATACTTTTCTTATGATTATAAATTATATAACCATATAACTTGTAGATAATATATATTATAATAAAGTATTCTATGTATATAAACACATTTTATATATATGAACAATATCATTATTTAATTATTTTTTATTTTAAGAATTAATCATTTTTCAATGCATACATACATAAATTGTACATGTGTGCGTGTTCATTATTATTGATTTATTTATTAAACAGTATTGATCGTGACAACTTAGCTGAACCCAGTTTGTAATCCTAAGCCACCTAAAATATTTTTTTCATTTTATTTTAGTCAATCATTTTTTTGTTTATGATCAGCGTGCTTCCCCGCCCACCGCCGTGACGGCACAATGGCCTGCCCGTGACGCGCGCTGCAGTGGCGCTAGTGAGTGAAGCATCGTTGAAGCGCGGCAGAGCTGTCAGGCATTGTTTATTTTGCGTGCTCGTTTAAACGCTGAAACTATCCTCACCGTTCATTATTAGCTCCCGGAATACATCAGTCCTGCTCTCCGTCAGTCAGGCAGGCGCTGGAGCCGCTGTCGTCCTTTAAGAAAGGTGTTAATGCTGTTATTTGTGTAGTGTGAGGTGCGCGCGCGTCTCAAGGAGCTCCAGGCGGACTGTATATTTTAATATTGATCCATATGCACGGTACAGTAAGTGTTATATTCTACTGACAGCTGATACGTTTGCATTATACCGCCGCCGTCGCTGCCCTATATTATCGCTGAGACGCTTGGATAAGCTTCAGGACGGCGACTCCACACTGGACCACGCACCTGAGGTTTGTTTGATGTCCTCGTGAGGAACCCGAGCAGAAGATGTGGGTGAACCCTGAGGAGGTGTTGCTGGCCAGCGCGCTGTGGATGACCGAGAGAGCGAATCCCTACTTCATCCTGCAGAAGAGAAAGGGCCACGGAGACGGCGGAGGAGGGCTCGCGGGTAAAGCCGTGATTACTCAATCAACCGCATGTTGTTTATGATGACAGCTTATTAACACACCTGTGTGTGTGTGTGTGTGTGTGTGTTCAGTCATGCCTGCACACTCAGGTGGACGCGCGCTGTTGTTGGTCACGCCGCGTACACGGAGACGCACCTGTGCGCGCGAGTGCGCTCTTACCTGTGTGGACAGGTCACTAAAGAAAATAGGATTTACTTCGAAACAGTCTTCACTCAGATATTGCTAGTCAATTCCACAAATAATTACAAAGAAACGAAAAGTAACACATTGAATAGTAGAAAACGTACTCTTAATAAATTGTTTTATTTAAATCTTCGATTTATTATTACTATCATTTTTTTTACGGTAATGGGATTTGGTCGTATATATTATATTGTTCAGTTTATTAATTTATTTGTAAAAATATTTGAGCATTTTCACAATCGATGACATGGTATTTATCGGCAATCATGTTATCAGCATAATTTGAAAATAGCAGGAATTTTAATATTTCATGTTTATAATGTCTACAATTTGTGCAAACCTGCTGATTCATGTTATCCAGCATTATTTGAGCATTTGTACAAAGAAGTTCCTTTTTCAAAATTCTAAAAAAAATAAATAAAAAGTTTAAATTAGATTTTGTATGGACAATAAATATAAGTTGGTTTCCATTCAGTTGTCCTGGACAATACTATGACTGATCAATCCGAATCAAGTGTATATTTGATTATTGTGTGTATGTATGATTGTGCATAATATAGACTTACATGGATTTATACAGCCTCATAATCATATTATTTCTATCACTGCTGTGAACAGGCCATGCAAGAGATGTATAGATGCATTCAAGCGCCGTAGAAATGGCTCATTATTGTTTCTGTGCGATGTTTTTAATGTGGTTGACCGATGGAGTTTTTTCAATGGCTGATACTAATATCGAGAGAGTTTCGGTTGACTGATGACTGGGAAAATTGCTGAAATTAACATTCATTTTCATGTTCTTAGACTTGGTTACAAACCCTAAATATGGCTTCTATTGCTTTGGCAACATCAAAATGGCCAAATATGGGCTGGTCTGGCTGATATATGCATCCAATAACCCAATATAAAAGTCCTAGCATGATATTAAAGACCAAACAGGCTCAGTAAGGTTCAGTTTATTCTCAATGCCTCAGGACAGGAAGCCGAGCTGGTTAGGTGTTGTGAAATATGCTTTACTGACCTCACCTGGTGAGCTGACCTGTATTCATAGCTGGGCAGGTGCTGTATGTGTGGCGTTCGCCTCTTTATGGCTGATTGACAGATATCGTGCTGGAGCCTTGAAGGGAGTTCTTGAAAAATAATGTGTTTATGGATAAAACTCGGAGTGAATAGCAGAGATCGACGTTGTTAGAGCCAAAACGTCGCCGGTATTTGTGCGTCTACCTCTTTGTGTCTGTCAGTGAGAAAAGACAGACACAAAGCGTACACTAGCAAGGGAAGATGATGTCATTGTTACATAAATGTGCGAGCTGTGTGCCAGTGAGAGTCGGTGAGCCTGGCACGGCCCAGCAGACTGACCCACAGGGTCTTGGGTAGCCGGCGTTTTTGTGTATGTGTTTACAAACGTCAAACTGACCAAATATCTTGTGAAATTTTTATTCAGACATGAATTTTTAACAGAAGAAAAGTGGAATAGACAAAGAAGATGTAGTTGTGCGTAACGATTAGCCTATATGTTTTTTGAAACATTTTCCTATTTTTTTTTATTCTTTACATGTGTAAATAGTGTTTACTGTAGGCTCATCCAATTTTTCCATTTATTTACCTATGAGAACAAAAAAATCACACATGAGATCTCACTAAGATCTCCTTAAAGTCTCTCATGTTTCTCATTGAGAACAAATGCTTTTGAACGGAGACTTTTGCTTTTGTTTTGGTATCACCTGAATCTTTCCAGAATTTTCTCCTCTAGAGATCTCAACATTGTCTCAAACTGTGCTTACGTTTCCCAATGGTCTCCATAGGATCTCATCAGATTCTTACAAGAAAGTTATTGAGCTATAATCTGTGTTATTTTTATAGCTCTACGCTCAACAGCCAACTCATTAGAGTCTATTTTTAAGGCATTTTATGAGAAACATTTGAGACAAAGTTGATGCCTAAATGATAAATGCTTTAAAAAATAGTAGTGAGCTATGAAAGAGCAACTTTTGAACAATCACATTGTAGGTAGTGCAATTATAAACCAACATAAACAAGCTTTATTCCAATTTGTTAATTAAGACGTCCAGAACAGTTGTGTTTTTGTCCATTATCTGAAGGCCTGTTGTTGTACATGCATCCAGAAGGAGCCCAAATGTCTTTTCTGTGGCTAAATATGGGTAAATTTTCTCCTGAGAAAAAGACTCAAGGAATCCCTCATGTGTTTCAACATTGTCTCAAACTGTGCTCAGATTTGCCATTGGTCTCAAGCATTTTTCATCAGATTATTCCAGGAATGTTATTGAGCTATGATCTCTGTATTATTTCTATAGATCTGTACTCTACAGCCGACTCATTTGTGTCTGTTTTTGAGGCATTTTATAAGAAACATTTGATACAAAGCTGATGCTTAAATGATAAATGCTTTAAAAAATTGCAGTGAGCTAAGACAGAGCAACCTTTAAGCAATCAAACTGTAGGTAGTGCATTTTTAAACCAACATAAACATACTTTAATCCAATTTTATCATTAGGACGTCCAGAACAGTTGCAACAGATTGACCGATAATCGGTTTTACCAATATTTTCCCTGATATTTATGCATGTTTCCATAAACAGATATCAGTTTTCTAATATCGAATCCACCGATAAATGGAGAACTGCACACAAGACCACCATTACAAACCTGTTCAAATGTAAGGTAGCTTGCTTTGCTTTATTTGCTAAACTTTATTTAACATAGCTGCCATTAATGCACAAATGAGGTGTGTTACATAAACGCTTGATCTGTAGTTTAAGCTTGGCGCTACGAGTCGAGTAAATCTGTCAAATCATGTCCCAAAGACATAACTTTACATAATTCAAAAATAAAACAGGCTTGGAAGAGTGCATGATGGAAATAAAACAAAGTAAAACAATAAATGCAGGTTCTGCATATCGGTTATCAGGCACATAAACATGCAAATTATCGGTAAAAAAAAAAGAAAAAAGAATATCGGTTTATCTCTAATTTTCATCTATTATCCACAGGCCCAGTGGTCTGCATGCACCCAGAAGGAGCCTAAATGTCTTTTCTGAGGCTCAATACGGGTGAAGTCAACAGCTTCTTTGTGTTTTTATGCTATTCAATGCAGTTGTATCAGGTTGATGCTGTTCAGGAGAATATTGATTTTGTCCGTGTGCTGGTAAGGCTGTTTTTGTCAGAGCGGAGATTAATTCAATTGAGAGCAGAACGTTCTATATTTAGAATGAGAAAAGACAACAATGAAATGTTCTTCCCACAACTCCTTATCCAAGCATCCTAACTAGAGATGCAACGATTGCAATTTTTTTGGCCGATTCCGATTTTTTGGAAGTGTGACCTGCCGATACCGATTTTTGCCAATTCCGATTTTCTTTCTAAGAACTATAATTGACAGCATATACAAACAGAAATCTATGCAAATTTAAATGCAAAAATTATTTACATAATAAAAGAAATGATTAAATATTACAATTCCCCCAATCTGGACTAAGTTACAGATTTTCTCTCACTTAAACAACTCTCAAAATAAAGTGCTCTGTGACTGGAAAGAGGAAGAAATAGTTCACTTAAAATGAGTTGCTGTATGTAACAAAACAGATGTCATTTCCTACTATGTTTATAATGTTTATGTTTATAAGGTCTTTTTTTTCCCCTAACCTTATTAAATGTGTCATCTTTCACATCAATTTCTTACTTTGTTTTAATTAATTCAGTTAGAATAATAAGAAACTGTAGAGTTGTTACCATTCAAATGAAATTAGTATTAACAAACTCGTATCTTTCCACTGCGAAGGAAACAGAAGCTGCATCTGAAGTGGCATTAGATGCATTTACACGAACAGTTTGATGAAGCTGAGGTGCCATAAATGCATTTACACTGCAAAATTTCAAATGCATAAATAATTTTATAAGATTAATGTTTTACATATTTTTTTAAACATACAAATAAATGTTGAAAAAATGCAATGATACTTTTAAATATGACTAAACCACCAGTAGGTGGCGGCAAATATCTGTTTTGATGAGTGAGTCATTTATTCATTCATTCAACCGATTCATTCAAACGGCTGATTCATTCAGAAATGAGGCAAGTGACTGTTCTTATGAATGGGCCACTAAATAACTGACTCACTCGATTTGTTCAAAAACGTGGATTCATTCAGTAACGAAACACCACTGTGTGTTGCTTGGAGACACACAACAGTGGCTTTGATCGGAACTATTTTCGTCAGCGAAATTGAGCAAAAACATTCAATATTTTGTCTAAAATCTAAGTCACTTAATTTTGTTAAGTGTTTACATGTTTGCACGTGACTGTGAGTGTGCGCGTAGCTGTGACATCATTGCCGGAGCTGCTGGCAATAAAACGATCGGCTCAGAATCGGCAAAATTCTGATTGAATTGTGTTCCCAGGATTCACATACTGTATATGCCATCAGGGAAACACAAGCATATCTGTAAAAGGCTATGTAGTCTAGCACGCCCTACTACCATGGTCAAAATGTAGTAGTGTCTTCCATAATGCAGTGCGCTCGACTGGACCTTCCATGTGCAAATGGTTGAAAAGCAATGGATTAAAATTGCAGAATTTTTATGTTTTATAAACACAACAACTGGATGCCACTTGCTGAATTAAACATGTTCACAAAGAGGTCTTGTGACATTAATGTAGAATACTACTATTGAAACAATTATTGTTATTTATTGTTTCCCATTTTTATAAATAGTAGGCAATGTGCAGTGCAAACTGAGCAGTTTGACCAAAAGAGGATCTAAACATTGCAGATTGACTTCAACGCAAAGAATACAAACATCCAGTGTTATTTAAATATTATTTATATGCTATTATAGTATTTATTAATATTTTGAATTGTTTTTTTATATTCTCAGTTTTTATTTTAATTGGAGTAATTAAATTTTTAATGTAATTTTTAGTAGTTTTTATTTATAGTTGCCTTTAATTTATTGTAATTTCAGTTTTAGTTTAACATTTTTTAGTACTTTAATGTCCACTTATTTGAGTTAGTAGCTAGTTAGTTTCTAAGTTTTTCATCGAATATTTATATTTTTGGCTTTATTTCAATTAACAAAACATTAGTTAACAATAACATCAAACGTTAATGCTGTTTGCTGTAGATGGTATGATTTAACATTTTACATTCATTATTACCTTTTTTATTTATTTTTTATTCATTATTTGTTAAAAACAAAAACCCTAGAGTATGATTTCATATCCTGTTGCTCGTATTCGTTGTGGAGTGTGAGGTGATTTTTCTTGATGGCAATCTAGTGTGATTGCACCCTAATAGAAAATAGAAAGTGTTAAACGACTTTGCTACTGTGTAACAGTGTGAATTTGAGCCATAAAGTGTGTGAATATTAATTCTGGCATGCGTTGCTTGGAAACCTTTCGGGACTGTCCAGTCAGTCATGCAGCTTAATTAATATTCATGATCCAAGAATAGAATATTTAATATTTATTGCAGAGGAAACTCAGTTAATATTATTGAATGTGTCTGTAAAATAATGTCTATCAATCATATTAAAATATATCAATAATAAAATAATTAAAATGTATGAATAATAAAATATTTGTAATTTTTTTTTCTGAAAATACATCAATATAAAAAGAGGCCTATGGAATGCTATGTCATGAAATATGTCAAGTATTTGACAGAAGAATGCAGCTGTTTGGCTCTGTCTGTCAAAGGAACTTGAAATACTGGAACTGGAAACGGTGTGTTAAAGAATGAACTGAATGTTGTTGGTGTGCACTTAAACAGCGCTCAACGAAGGGCTCTGCCACTGAATAGATCACGTGATCCTTACAGTACTCTCAAATCTCTGCTCTCTTGTTTCGCAACCAAGGAAACCGTGGCTCATCCGAGCATATGAAAGCAGAAACGGAAAGTCACATGTTCAGGAGGGGGGTGTTAGTGCACACACGAGCTCCAGCAGAAACAGGAAGCCAGATTTGTTTGGAGGATCCTGATTCACACATTCAGCTTTGGCAAAATCTGTGGTGTCAAAAACGGATGCACATTCCTGTTCTTATTGTGCATGATTGATCAGTTATTCCAAATAAACTAAATGGTCTCAAATCTCAGTTTTGCTTGTGCACATTCGAACTGGCTGAACCGGCCTGATCCACACTGGATGGTGTTGTGAGATGAATAGCTCCTCCTCTGGTCTGCAGGTTTTGCAGGTGTCTGATGCACTGATATAATCAGGTAGATTCTTCAAAGCCACTAACAGCGTTTGCCCAGGGGGTTTACAAGCAGCAGCCATTGAGGACTGATGTGTTTTTGGTGGCTTGGTTGTTGTTTTATTGCTACTGACCTTTTCTAACACCTAGGTTAGAGCTAAACTACACCTTTTGAAGCTGTATGTCAGTTTGCTTCTGTTTTTTGAAAATATGTATATATACACACTCACTGCCGTTTGAGATTTTTTAAATGTTTTTGGAAGAAGTCTCTTCTCCTCACCAAGGCTGCATTTATTTGATCAAAAATACAGGAAAAACTGTAATTTATTAATGTGATGCAAAGCTAAATGTTCCACTCCAGTCTTCATTGTCCTTCAGAAATCACTCTAATATGCTGATTTGCTGCTCAGGAAACATTTATTATTATTATTATAAATGTTGAAAACAGTTGTGGTGCTGCTTATTTAAATTTTTTGTGGAAACTGTGAAACATTTTTTCAAGATTCTTTGATGAATAGAAAGTCCAAAAGAACAGCGTTTATTTGAAATAGAATCTTGTGTAACACCATAAATGTGTTTACTGGCCATTTTGATCAATTTAAAGCATCCTGGATGAATAAAAATATGAAATTCTTCAAAAAAAAAAAAATCTAGATTAACCCAAACTTTTGAGCTTCATAAATCAAACGAATACTTGGTATCCCTGTGATGGGTTTACAACAAATTTATCAGACTAGATGTCTTGGTAAAGCTATGAAAATTATATCTGATGATAGGCACCCACTGTATAATGAGTTTGAGCTCTTGCCTTCGGGTAGAAGATTCAGGATACCGCTGTTTTTTAAAAATAGAGGGAAAAAATCTTTTATAACACAGGCAGTGAAGTGCTTAAATGAAAGATAGGAAAGAAAGAGTTTTTTCCTTTTATTTTTATTTTTATGTAATGAGCAGGTCTCATTCAGTAATTAGCACTTCTTGATTAATTGATGTTAAATTGTATTGTTTCTATTGTGAAATTTATGTTGTATTTGTCATTTGTGAGAACCGCATATTGAAACAAGACGGATAAATAAAGTTGTTACTACTACTACTACTAGTATCATTAAATAAATAAATAAAAGTACCTAAAAATATAATATAAAAATTATAGTTTTTAATTGTTTGCTCTGAATTGGCTTAAAAGATTGATGATTATAATGATGATAATGAATTATTATTCGATCAAAGGAACTAGGGATGCACGATATATCGGCCACCATATCGGTATCGGCCCATATCGGCTCATTTTTTCTGTTATCGGTATCGGCCTGATAAGAAAATTTGGCCGATATCTTAAAGCCGATAAATAATGCATTATTTCCTTCAGAGACACTTCAGATGCGCGCTGTTCGTTTGCAGCCTTTTGTGCAATTGTACATTGTAATATTGTGTTTATTTGATGTATATCTGATTTATCTCATATAGAATGCGATTGGTTAAGTTAAAAGAGCGCTTCAGTTTACCAGTGATCATCTTTAGCTCAGCACACGCAGCCCAAACAGCAGTGCACAACATTAATAACTATGATTGGGAATGTCGTGTATATAACATTCTAATGAGAACATTATTATAATAAAACGTTGGGAATTCTTTGGGTTTAGTTGCCGTGTTTCAGCGCGTTGTTATGGGAAGAGCGCATCCACAACAGGATCACACATTCTGACTATAGCACGCAATAACTGCATAATTTTGTACATATATAAGTTGTAATATTATGTTTATGTTGTATTAATATTAATCTCAGGATGCATTTCCTTGAGTTAAATAAGCTGCCAGCAAAACGCTTCAGTTTACCATGTTCATTCAGCTCTTCAGCTTCAGCACGCGCAGCTCAACGGCTGCTATTTAAAACAGTGGTATTAATTTGTTACTTTTTCAAAATCATTGATACATTATTAATAACAACAACCACTTGTATTTTTCTCTTATTATTTTCATCAACAATATGGTTTAGTAATTAAAATCATTTAATTATTGTCCGTGCAGAGGCTATTCCGTTTTATTGATCTGTGGCGCATTCATTTTGATTCTTTACATGTGTAATGATGTCCAGTGACTTGTTTGCATTATTTATGCATAATTTTATTTATTTGTAAGGCTTTTTTATGACTAAATTTGGTAATGGGAGAGTAAAAATATTTTTAAAACGTACACCGTTCAAACTAGGCTGCTTATGTTGAAGTGTTTGGGATGTGGCTTTTAATGATGAGACCTTTTTTGTAATCAGGCTCTCAAAAAGTATATAACAATTTGGATATAGATTTATCGGCCAACATATCGGTTATCGGCTTTCAAAAATAAAGAATAATCGGTTATCGGTATCGGCCAACATTTTCATATCGGTGCATCCCTAAAAGGAACCATCATTTTGACCAAACAGCCATAGATTACGAAAAGAGACTGAAAAGACGCAAAACTAAAATGAATCACTTCATTGAAACTGAACTGATTCACTGAAATGAATCGACTTTACCACCATTTTTGTTGCTAAAGCTGAAATCAGGGATGATATTAAATCATCTCTTTCTTAACATTGTGGTCTAACGATGTGGTCATTAGGAAACATGCTATTTTACAAACAACTCTGGAAATATTCCCAAATGTTAAACTGATACTAAAACTCAAATGAAAAACTGAAACTATTTCATAAATCAAACTAGTTTTTTAAAATAAATATCTCCATGAAATGAAACTGATATCTTTGTTTGTGTGGACTTGTTTTCTACTGTTGTACTGTTGGTTCAGTCAGTTTTGTGCGACTGATATGCAGTGGTCTGTTTTCTCACAGGTCTGCTGGTTGGTACTCTTGACGTGGTGCTGGATTCGAGTGCCCGTGTGGCCCCGTACAGGATCCTCTACCAGACCCCCGATTCCCTGGTTTACTGGAGCATCGGCCACGGTAACATACTGCCTCCGACCCCCCGCCGCCTGCCGGATCATTACCTCATGCTCTAGTGCCTCTAAAGCAGTGTTTCCCAACCTTTTTTTAGTCGCGGCACCCTACAAAATAAATTTTGTTACAATATTTGAATTTCTAAATTCGATATGATACTTTGAAAAGTATCGATATTCGGTACAGCAGGGAAGAACTGCAGAATATAATGTCATATTTTTAATATTATACATTTTTTTTGTCCATAGTGGCAATCAGTAGGCTAATTTCTAATGAAGAGACCAATTTATATGACAGATTTTCATGTAGGCTTTTATTCATATGTAAACATTGTTTAATTACCATTATAACTTAAACTATCTCACAAATCTTTGCTCACTCAGTGCATTTTTGATTTTACAGTGGGGTAATTTTGTTGCAGTAGCGCGAGATAGCTTGATTTCAAACTTTGAATTGAATAAAAAATGACAAGTAAGCAGTCAGTAATAAAATAAGAACAAATAAAGAAATTAATAATGATAGCACAAATAATGTATTATCATATAATAATAATTATCCAAATAATGTTTAGTCCTAGAAAGCTATTATTATCAGAATTAATATATTAATTAATTAACTATTATTAATATAATCGATTTTTGAGTGGACTTTGCTGTTCCGATGAGCATGAATGGTATACAAGTGGAGCGGGATAATACACAGAGCGTCACACCATGTGAAAGTGAATCCTGAGCGGTGAACTAATTTTCGGCGCATCTCTAATTATTGGCAACATCAGAAATTTATATTATATTATAGATGCTTTTTTGAACATTTTAGCAATTTAAAAATATAAACAAACGTGGCACCCCGGTTGGGAAACACTGCTCTAAAGTGCAAGCTGAAGTCAGAAATCAATCTCCACTCTTCTTTCAAACGATGCCGACTGTCTCCGCTTTTAAACTTCAGTTTAGACGTGGAAAACTTCAGTGCAGGAATGTTTTAGCTAAGAAGGCGTTTGTTAGGAATCGGTATTTGTGCAGGACTACGAAGAGCCTTCTGATGCAGGGCAGTGCGGTTAATGTGCAATTAAGAGCACTTAAGATGAGATTAGAGTAACACAGATATTAGGCAGCAGGACATTGCACACTGAAACCCAAATGGATTATGTTATAGCGTTTTTACTATGGCAGATATATTTTGCGCAGGTCTGCATTACGCCAATTGCATGTTAAGTCACAATACCAAAGCTTTTGTAGCTAGAGCAATACCAGAAACATTTCTCTATTGCAACATTATTTTTTAGTAGTGGACTATTGCTCTTTATTTTATTTTATTTTTTTACTTAATTGTTGTAATTCATTTTATATTTTTAGTTTATATTTTAACTTATAAATCAAAATACAAATACATTTGTTTAAATATTACTGAAAATTAATCATTCTAAATAAGTAATACATTAAAACAATGGCAAGTAGCCTTCAGTATTTTTTTCAGTTCCGTAAATATTGCTTTAAAAAATACAAAAATAAATAAATAAAATAAATTCTAACCAGTATAGTTTCCACTATACAATTATTGACATGGTAGATATATTTGTGCAAGAGGGATTTATGTTATTTGCACATATTACGTATATGTTATTTACACATACTGCTGCAAATTAATAATTGTAATTAAATAATGCATTAAAACAATGGCAAGTAGCCTTCAGTATTTTTTTCAGTTTAGTAAATATTGGTATAAAAATGAAAAAAAAAACACTAATAAAATCAAACCGGTGTAGATTCTTCTGTGCAATTATTGGCATGGTAGACGTATTTGTGTAAGAGTGATTAATGCTATTTACACTTAAAGAAACAAGTAGTTTTGTCAAAATACCAAAATTTAAATTTTTGTAGTCTGTAGCAATGCTAAAGAAATTTCATGATTTTTTTAATGCTGATTTCAATACCACTACAAAAACGAATTTGATATTGAGCCTCTTAAATATTTCACTATTTTATTTTAATATTGAAAAAATTGCTTTTAATCATAAATAAAAAATAAACAGATTTAAATATTATTGCAAATTAATAATTGTAAATAAATAATACTTCAAAACATTTTCAATACTTCAAACAAAAATCAAGCAATATGTGGAGACATATTGAGAGTGAAAATACAGAGCTGAAAACAAACATGCTATTAATGGATGACACAACATGGAGTTGAATACAAGATGACTGTATCAGTAAGATTAGTATGGTCGTCCCACAGTATTTACGGTAAGAGCGTCCAGCCCCAGCCCAGAACATTATGTGTGAAGCCAAAAGAGAGCGCTGGCTTCCCAGAGGAGCGGAGAGTGCTCTGTTTCTGAGCTAATCTGGTTTACAGGCAACTGCGAATGCTGGTTCATATTTCACAAGCTCTTACTTTGCTAGCTGCAAACCATTTGGTAAATCTCTTTATTTAGGGCGAGAAACCCATGTGCCTGTTCTGATGTGCATATGCTCTGTGAAAGGCTTTAGCATGACTGTACATAGGGACTTTTTTATTGAAAAATTTATTTTCTAGAAATAATCGTAGGCTTCATTTACAGTATAAATATATGTTGTAAAATAAATATCTAACTATAAAAATATATTTAAAAAAATCCTATATTATAAATATAAAATTATAATATTAATAATACATTTACAATTTAATATTATTATTTTTGTTTACTATTTAAATATATTTTTGGTTGTCAGACATAAAACAATTATGTATTAATAAATAAATAATGTAATAAATATTCAAAATTGTGTGTATACACACACACACACACATACATAAATTATAATGTTAATGTTAAATTAACAATAATATTACTATAGACAAAAACAACTAAATAAATTTTATGTTATTATTAATATTTAATATTAAATTTACATGTATATAAATATAAAAATATAAAACAATATTAAGATTAAATTTAACGTTTAATATAAATCGTTGGTTTTCAGACATTATAAACAGCTAAATTAATTTAATATTATTATAACATATGCACCTATGTACATATTATAAATATAAAATTATAAATCTTAAATTTAATTATTATTTTTAATTTTATTCATAATATTTTAATTTTATTTTAAGCTTTCATATATATA